CTTTAGCAAAACAGATATTTACGTAATTATTCATGTAATTCCAGCACTAAGAATATTATTTGCCAAAACTTGGAAATCAAAAGAAATTCCAAATGATGAAGCCATAATAAGTTTTTTCAATGCGCTGAATTAGATAGCTTGACACAAGAATTGAAAGAACGAGACAGATCAGAATACCGTAAAGTATGGAGCAATTTCTACGATGGAGGGACATGAAAGGAAGTTTATAAAATGAAAATGTAGAACTTAAGATGTAATTGAAATGTGGTACAAGAATAAAATCTAAAATGATATAAAGACTAAATGTATATATGTATATATTTATGGCATTCGGCTTTGCTCGGGTATTTTCCCACGTCATAGTAGTTGTGCTTTTAAAGTTGTAGCGACGTTTCAGCAGAATCTCATCTGGCATCATCAGGCATATTTATGTATATATGCCTATATTTTCTATTGACCTTTTCCTAGTGTAAAATGTAAAGACTGAAATGTGTGTCAAAGAAAGTTCACCACGTTCAATACTTTTAAATGTTTATTTTCAATTTTTTTTTAAAGATTGTTGTGGATGTCAATCAAAGAATACATGGCTGATGATCATTGCATATTACCTTTTTGCTGGTGATGATAGGGTTAAGAGCCAGAGGGGGAAATTATGCAATATTCTGAATGAGGAATACGACACCCAAAAATGGAATGATCAAGTGAAAAGGATTGTGGTGAGGGGAAAAAAAAACACAAGCCAAATATAAATTTGATAAATAATACATTTAGAAATGCCTTAAAACGGACATTACCCAACAGAAGGAAGGTGTGGTTTTTCACAAGGATTATAGGGCAAGGCTGGCTGTACTCATGGCCAAGGAGGAATGGAGCCAACTTCCCAGGTACTCCAAAGCCAAGCTGCCTTAGGGCAGAAGCTTCCTCCATCTTCTCAATCACATCTCCTTCCCAATTTGAAGTAGGCCTGACCGAAGATCTACCTTGACAGGTCGACACCTGAGAAGGGGTTTAATTTTTAGCCTTAAGAGGTTGTGTCTTAAAACCCTCCCAGGAGTGTGCAGGCAACTGGAGCTATTCCCTTCCAACAGGTGTGCTTGGATCCCTAGAACACACTTATATTTAGGGAGAATCCTGCAAATTCTGCATCAAGAGAGGCCCAAAAGAAATGCTACAGCAATCAAATCTTCACTGCTGAAAATCAGGAAGCAGCTCCAGAAGTCACTCAAGATGCCCAGGGTAGGGACATCCTCATCCCTAAACATTGGTAGCAGCTGCTCTCAGAGGAATCTCCAAGTGCTTCAATAACCCTCTAAAATGGGGGGTCCTGACCTTTTATATACCCTACCTGCACCCCTAGAATGCTCATAATATATTCTTGCACCTCTTACAAAAGTAAATAGTTATATGCATATAATATACATACCCACTATAATTGTGAAACTTCTAAGTCCAAGTTTTTCCACCTCCTGGAATATCGCCTCGCGCTCCCCAGTTGGGAACCCCTACTCTAAAAGGACGCAAATGACCAGCTGCCTGCAAGGAATATAAATCCTTCCATTCCCCACCTACCTGTCAGAGCTGAAGAAGCTTCTTGGATGAGAAGTGAAACATCTTCAAAGAAAAAACAAGAAGGTCCAGTTGCCTCCTGAAAAAGCACCTTTGAGACAACCATGACCTGGATGACTGTGACTCTCTACAGACTTTTAGCTATACAATTTGGGATGCACATTCTTGGAATGGTGTGGGAATAGGAACGGATTTCCAGAGGGAAAATTGCAGACTGTAGGAACTGTTGGCACTACTCAGGTGACCCTGAGGACATAGATAAACCTCCAAGCGCTTCAACGATCCACGAAAAGGGCGCAAATGAGCAGCTGCCTGCAAGGAATATAAATTCTTCCATTTCCCCCCACTATCCTGTCAGAGCTGAAGAAGCTTCTTGGATGAAGAAGCGAAACGACTTCAAAAGAAAGTAACAAGAAAGTCCGGTTGCCTCCTGAAAAAGCACTTTTGGGCAACCATGACCTGGAACTGAGAAACTATACAGACTCTCAGAGGAAGTAGTTGGGTCAATAGATGGATAACATGTTGGTTGAATAGGCTGCTTTAATGAGTAGCGGAGAGGTAGTGATTTTTCACATTGTCCAACTTGCTTCTTCTGAAGTCTTTTCATAGCCTCTATGTTCTCCAGATGGTCTGAGGGACCTCAAGCGTTGTTGCTAAGTATTTAGCTCATGCAGTGTTCGTTACCCAGAGCACAACCATTAGAAATCTCGTTATTTTATTATATCTGTTTTATTTAAAAAATAATAGGAGCTTTAGAATAGTCTGCTAGCAAACACACATTCATTGATTGAAATACAAGAGTCTTCCTGTATGCATTTTGCAAAATGAGGGGTGCATTTTAGCTTCACAAGGAATTTAGCTGTTGATTCAACTTCAAGCAAATAATTGCAGAGACATATTTTCATAATTCCATTTATATTCATACCGAAGTCTTCCCCATATAAATCGATACAGGAACACAGTTTCATATTAAAGCATTTTTGTCCAGGTACAGTTTACAGCATATGAAAATTTTTTATAGCACTAATAAATGAATAAAAAACTAAATGATTCGTGTAAAATGTTTATACACTTTATGTACACACACCAAGTCACAAAATTCACACCTCCATCCATGACAGACTTAATAAGCTACAATACGAGATTTATTTAAAAAAAAAAAACAGGAAAAAAGAAGAGCTTAGAACTAATTTGAGCACTTACTGAAATCTGGATTGTTTACAAAAATTTAGAAAACATAGTTCAGAGAGAAATACTCCACATGTATTAGAAAAGTCTTGCAACCGCTTTTTGGGAATGACGTCTTAACATTGACTTTTAACCAATATCTTCTCAATTGCAATAGAGCTGAAATATGCACAAATGGGATCATTTTAGAGTAAGGCTTAGAGTAAGAGGGATATATATCTCTTTTCTGGAAGCTCTCCACAATGCAGTAGCTTATTGCTTATCCTTTAAAAAAACCCGTCTCCTCTATCTCACACTCACTCTCCTTTGCTGCTTTCCAAAAAAATAACCCCAATTCCCAATTTATAGACAGTTCCCACTGAATGAAGCTATCAGACTCAAATTTTTCAGCCTTTGGGTAAATGTGACTGGTTTTTCTAAAACTTCAGCTAAGAATTTGTCTATGGAGATTCGCAACCCTTTAGGTCATGGTTGCTCCAAAAGTGCTTTTTTTCAAAAGGCAACTGGATTGGCTTGGATTTTTTTTTTCCTTGAAAACATTTCGCTGCTCATCCAAGAAGCTTCCTCAGTTCAGAACTTCTTGGATGAGAAGTGACACATTTTCAAGGGGAAAAAAATTGAGAAAGTCCAGTTTTCTTTTGTAAAGCACCTTTGGTCCAGCCGGACTCTTAAAAGTTTTATTTTTTTAAGTCACTAAGCAGATTCCCACTATTGAAGGGAGATTCATTCTGAAGGATTATGTGGTCCAGCAAATAAGAATCCTCTAAATCTTTTCCTGAAGTAGAAGAAAAAGGGAAGGGAGGAATTCTGATCAACCCAAGGCTTGCTGTTGCAAACAAACTAGGAATCCAGGTTTTACAAAGATTCTGGTTTAATAAGCAAGCCAGTTAAGCCAGCATTTCTGGTTCCCAAGAAACAAAAATATCAGGAATGAATCTCAGTTATTTCCCCCTTTATATAGACTGAAACCCGAGGATTCTTTATTTAAAAAATCTCTGAATTAAAAGGAAAGCTCCGAATTAAAATCATCTCACTCTCTTAAAAAATAAAAAAGCACTAATCTCAAGCAGCCGTCAAAGGGAGGACGGGGGCATGAAATTAAAAGACAGGAGAATTCTTTGGTTAGAATAATTCATCCGAGTCTGCCGCTCCAATGCAAGAATCAAAACACTTGTTTTGTATTAGCCTAATTTTTGAAGGGCTAGGAGACTAAATGGCAACATACCTATTTGGGGAATCAGGCAAGAAATATCTGATTTAGTCTGGGGGATGGGTGGCCTTGGTGCTTCCGTGCCAAGAAGATGAAATCAAAGGAGGTGGGAGAGGGAGGAAGGGGGGTCCTGCTGCTGTGCTTGTCTTTATTTAGTTAAAATTCTGCATCCTGATTTGTGGGGGGGGAGAGAATACTTTTTTGGAGGGGTTCTTTAGCTGTAGCACTGTCAGATAAAAATGCCAGCCAGCTCCTCAAGCACGCAGAGAGTCCTATTTCTACACCGAGGAAGAGGATGAGAAGGGGGGTGGAGGGTTCAGTCTTGTGTCCTGGCTGCCTTTGGGGGGGGGGGGCCCCCCCCGCCCTGCTCTGAAAGAACCACATTTCAAAAACCCCCCCCCCCCCCCACAACAACCCACCCGCAAGTTGATGCTTGATAGTCTCACATACGATGTTCTTTTAAACCCCAGGCCTGGGGGTTCAAACCCCAGAATCCTGAGGGGGGGGGGACACGATAGCTCCACGGGTCTGTTTTTTCCAGGGACCCCCCCCCCCCCCCCCCCCAGTCTGCTGATCCAGTGCGCAAAGCTCGCCTTCTGGTTACATAGAGGAAGCGAAAGAGCTGGGCCACCCTCCGCGTCTCAAGTGGCGTCCATCGAGAGATGCTGCTTCAGGTTTGTTGAAGGTGCCTAAGAGGTGGAGCTCTCTCTGGCCTCATCACAATCAGGACGCTGTGTGAGTTCCATCCTAGGGAGAGGCTAATGTTTGGAACAGACTCTCCTGCTAGAGCACGGGGTTGGGCTAGATGACCTCCAAGGTCCCTTCCAACTCTTGTTTGGAGATGCCAAGGGCCTGAGGAACGGAGTGTCTCCTCCGCTCGCTCGTTCTCCCCAAGCAGCTTTGGCCCAAAGCTAAGAAGCAACCGGGAGTAGCCCAAAAAGCGAACAGGGAGGAGAGGGAGAGCCGGGGGCAGCTACAGCAAAGCCGTCGCCTCAGAGTCAAGAGGAGAAGCCCCAGCAACCGAGGTCGGGAGTCTTCCAGCTCCGCCACACTAGGCCTCCCGTCGCCATGTGGGACGGCTGGGGAAGCTCGTTCGGAGGGGCCAGCTTTAAAAGTGGGGCGGGGGGGGAGGAAACCACCATTTGGACCCAAGGACCCGCGAGGTGGCTGGGCTGACGGAGGTCCGCAGTTCGGGTCCAAAGGGCCGTCGAAAAGAGCCGCTTCGCTGGACTGGGGAGGCCGAGGCGACCGCCGGCGGGCCCGTGGGAAAGCGGCGGGCTACCCGGGGAGGCTCGTCTAGAGATAAAGCGGCGAGGAAAGCAACCGTCTCCCGCCACAGCCCCGCAGGCGGCCGCCTCCTCTCCCCCACCCCACTCCCGGGGAACGGGCGTCGGGCGCGCTCACTCGCGGCAGAAGACGTACTCGGTGTAGCTGGTCCAAATCTTGTCGTCGGCGGGGCCGCCTTGCTCCGGCCCGAAGGCGCAGGTGCCCGTGGAGGAGCAGGCCGCCATGCGGAAGCCGGCCTCGCTCAGCCGGTCGAAGGCCTGCTCCAAGAAGTTGAACTTGAGGTAGTAGCGGGCCGTGTAACGCTCGGGAGGCCGGTCCGGGTCGCGGCTCTCGTTCAGCGTCTCGCCGAAGACCTCTTTGGCCAGCGCCGTCTTGCCGCACACCGTGATGCGGGCCACCCGTCGGAACTTGGCGTCGGCTTGGGCGTCCCGCCCGATGGTGTACGAGCCCCGGTAACCGATGGTGATGTAGCCCGAGCGGCGGCCGCCGGGACCTCCGCCGGCGTCCAGAGAGAGGGAAGCCGCCAGCATCGGAGGCGCGGGCCCCGACGGGCTGCGGCCCGACGTCGGCGAGGCAGCCGAAGCCGCCGGGGTCTCGCTGAAGTCCGCTTCTAAGTAACCCAGCCCCGACGCCGCCGCCGCCGGGTCGTCGGCGCACACCGAGGAGTCGCGCAGCAGCCCCGCGAAGCGCGGCGGCGGCAGGGCCGGGGAGGAACTCGAGGCCGCCAGACGGCGCACCAGCTCGGGCAGCTGGAAGTATTCGGCTTCGCGGCGCAGGCGGTTGCGCTCCGGGAAACCCTCGGGCAGCACCAGCTCCTGATCGCGCAGGTAGTCCAGGACGTAACGGAAGAGGAAGCCGTCGCGGTCCAGAAAGAAACGGCCCTTGGCGTCGCGGGGCAGGTCGGTGGCCTCTTGCTGCGAGAAGAGGCGCCACAGCAGCGAGCCGCGCACCGACAGCACCGTCCCTCGCCGGGTCACGTACACCTGCCCGCCCACGTTCAGCTCCACGATCTCCGGGATGGGCCCCGACGACGGGGACGAGGCCAGGTCAGAGGCCGTTGGAGCGCGAGAGACGCCGCTCCGGGCGCCGCCACCGCCGCCGCCGTTAGGGAGCCCCCGGGCGCTGTCGGCTAAGGCCATGCCGGTGGTCCCGGCCGAGGAGGGCCGCCGCCGCCGCCGCCGCTGCCGCTGCCTGCGCTCCCCGGGACCGCGACCGTCGCAACCCCGCTCCGCTTTTTAGCCGGCCTGTCCCGCGACCCGGACGGTTCTCCTCGCTCGCGCGTGTGTGGCTCCGCTGGGCTGCGGCCTCCCGGGCACTTGCCGGCGTGCCAAAAAGAACGGGCGGCGGGACTGGCTTTTTATGTCGCTCCGCCGCGCTGCTGCCACCGGCGGGAGGAGCGAGCGGAGGCGGCGGCGGCGGCGGCCGGGAGGCTGACGTCGCTCGGGCGCTTCCCCTGCGCGCTGCCTGCCTCCCGTTTTGCGCGGGGCCGCCACCGCCACGCCCGAGCGCCCCACTCCGGACGCGCGCGCGCGCGCGCCGGACCGGGCCGGGCTTGAGCCTCTGCTTTTGGAGCGGCGCTTTTTGGAAGGCGCTGCAGCCGCTTTGCGGGCTCCCCGGGGACTCCCGCGCGAGACCCGGGAGAAGCCCGGGCTGC